CTCCAGAAAATAGTTTCTTCACCTGACAAATGAGAAAAATTAATAATAGGCTTTGGGAGATTGCAGGGAAGTTGAAAAAATCTATATACATTTGTTAAAATAATATCCAGCTTTCAGGAAACTGGAGTATTCCATACCATTGCTAATATTTCTATTATACCAAGGGTGATACTGTTCATGTCCATTCTGCCTTATGATTCATAAGTCAGCTCCCATTCCGCATCAATTGCAGTCTCTAACTCCACCACTACTACTGCCATTCACAGCCCAAAGCTAGTTATAGCACCTGGAGAAACTGACTGTAGGCATCCGAAATATGGGTAGTGGTCATCCATAGCCCCCAACCCACTTGCCAGCGTCAAAGCATGTTATATGACACTATTGCTAGGCTCACTCCAGAAAAAGAATCTACAAAAACAAGATGACTACCAAAGTCAAAATTGATAAATCAATTAGTTTATTGGGGTTTCTTACAAGAGTATGAGCATGAGCTTTCTTACAGGAGCATAAATGACTGTAAGACAGCTGCATCAACTAAGCCGACCTCTGCATGAGCCACATTTCAGGAATGCTGGGACCCTGAAGTGCACTGCACAATTTTGCAGGCAGCTACGGGCCAGAGTGTTTCTTCCAGGCAGCTTAGATTATCTGTGTGTCTTTATTATTTGTGGGCAGAGGGGTCTAGTGAATCTGGTCCATTTCAGAGACTTCCTCGAGTGTCATAGTAATGTACTTCAGGGGTTTTAAGCAGCTCCCTTGTCGAATGGAAAGTCAACTCAAAGGAAATTGCTTTACAACACAAGAGTAGGAACAGTTCTTTCTTTTTTTGTTTGCTTGTTTTTGTCATTACACATCTACCTTCCAGTTTTCTAGTTAGCAAACACTCACTGGAAGAAGATCCAGGAAATCATTTTGGCTGACAAGTTTTTCTACATACAAGAAGAGAGCCAAGGTTGGCAAACTATAGTACACCCATTACACGCATGCATATGCAGCTTCTACGAGTAGTTTCTGAAAACTTGCTGAAAATAATTGCTCTGTTTCCTTCCTTGAGGGGATAATTTTCAGCTACCACCAGACAGTAAATCACATGAGAAATGAAAAATACTTATCTTCAGTCTCCACCCCTAGAAATTCTGATTTGGGTTAAGGAGGCACTTCAGACATTTAGAAATTTGTCACGCACAGAGCACTACTCCAACCACCGGAACATTTCATTTCTCTTCGCTGTCTCCTAACTTTATTCAGATGTTTATACAACATCCTAACCTTCTTAGTGGTTATGTGTACACTCTCTGCCAGTTTGATGTGAGTTCTGTGTGTTTTCTTATGGCCTTTACAACCCATGACTGTTTACTTTGCAAATAAAACATATTTTACTTATTTGTTGGATTCATAGATAAATGAAAGGTGTGTAAATGCCTTGTGAGCATATTAAGGACTTCAACAACAGCAGCTAGTCCTCCCTGCCCTCCTCCTTGGCATGCTCTGTCAAGTATACTTGGGGGGAAATTTCTTGGTTCTGCTCAGCAGAGTGAAAGATAAGTAGATGTGCTACTTACAACCTCAGCCTTCTCATCAGTACTTCACCATGAAATGTAACGTGACAGAAAGTTAGCCTTTGAAAAATAGCACCCAATGAAGAACATCCTCAGCCAGGGAACCCACATCCTTTTACAATCAAATTTACAATCTAAAAGAAGAATGTGGGAAAACAAAATCTTGCTTATCTTCCTGTGCTGTAAGATAATATCACCTCCCTCCTAAAGCCATCTTCTAAACCTGTAGTGGGTAATGATAAAATTAGAGCTTAAGTTTTATATCAACTGTGACTTTGGAAGCTTGACACTGGTGTTTCATTTATATACCACACATGAATAGCTGACTGTGCCTACCTACGTATGTTGAACATAACCTGTGGGACACGTCAGTAACACTGATAGATCTTCAGTTCAGCTTCCTTGTCACAAATCAGATTTAGCATTTAAAATCTTCAGAAACAAACTCTCCTGCTGTCTTTGACTAGTACTGGGAAAGAGTACCCCCCCTTCACCCTGCAGCTTTACCCATTGGACAAAGATTACAAACTGACTGGTTAGCTTATGTCTGGACACAGTTCTACCATTAATTTAAAAAATGTAGATTCCATATACAAAGAAGGGAAGAGAATACAAAATAGTGTTCAGAAAAAAATAGTGGTAATATTTCATATAGCTAGAAAAGATTCATCTTCTTTTCCAACCCCTCCACTTCACCCCATTTAGTCGGAGGTCCCAAAACTTTAAAATTTCAAGGTCTTTCTGTATGCCTAATCTTTCCCAGTAAGAATCATAAGAATCCTTCCTCAAGATTCAACAGTCTACTTGAGATCCTGTAGCAACCTCTTACATGTTTTCTCCTTCCTTATAAACTAGGAACGATTGGTTCCTTCTTTCCTTCCTTCTTTCCTTTTTTCTTTTTTATTTAAATTAGAAACAATCTTATTTTACATATCAGTCCCAGTTCCCTCTCCCTCTTGTCCTCCCATTCTCCTCACTGAACCTTCCATCTCATCCCCATCCAATCCCCAGGGAGAGTGAGGCCTTCCATGGGGGATCATCAAAGTCTGTCACATCATTTGCTTCCTTCCTACATTCCTTCCTTCCTGTGTTTCTTCCCTCCTTCCTTCCTCTCTTTCCTTACTATCTTCTTTCCTTGATTTGCAAATTTCTGGCAGCTTACCTCCCCTAAAACCTTCCTAGGAAAGTCCTTTCCCACTGGCCTCTCTATTGACTCCCTAAGAATCATGTATGATACTAATGAATGTATTCTTATAACTGTGACCCTTTAGTTTTTTAATAAAATATTTGAGCACATTTGTACATTCATAACTAAATGATAGATATCTTGAAATTAGGATTGAATTTTTTAATGTGGTTTTGCCAAGAAGAAAGGAAACAGTTTGTTACTTCAGATTATATTCACAATTCTTTGGGTTAGATTCAGACTTGGTAAGAGAAAAACTCAGTTACCACTGAGTAAATGTTCAATATAGTAGTCTCATAGATGCATAAATCGTAAGATTTTAAGATATTGGACTAATCGTTTTTTTCCTACTCAATGCTCTGACACTATTTTTTACAAAACAATGAAATGAGAGATGCCTTTATTCTTTTAAAAACTAAGGAAATATGATTCAGAGTATTTGACAGTTCTATAGAACAAAGGCTGGCATATAGTCAGGCAGGGAAGATCATGTATTCTTGTCATTATATTTAGACTTCTGACCTGGTCAACAAATGAAATACAGAAATTATAATATTGTACATAAATTGTTATTTTAAATAAACCATTGGAGTAGTATATATTTTTAAATCATTTGTCTTCATTTTTCTAAAATACTAAAGCCTCATAAAATGGAAGTCACCTGAGGGTTCCCAATTCAAGAGGGAACCCACTCTTCATGGTGGTACTGTATACATTTTAAACTTAATACATATTCACAATGAAAATGACATTTCTATACTAAGAACTTAAAAGTATTGTATTTACTGTGGAAATTAAACACTTGATCCAGTTGTAAATGTAATTTAAAATATTTTTTAACATTTCAAGGGAATCAGATATCTTTTCCTGGTATTTTCAGAAAACTTTGAACATGTTTATATTCACTAGAAATGGACATTTCTGTGAAATTAATCAAATAGGGAATTCAATGTTCCTTGCAGATAATTTTGGCCTTATTCCATTGGGAACTTTCTAGTTTGAGTTTGTATCTTTTCTGGGAAAGACCCCTGTGTTCCAGATCCTCATTCTTTCCTTACTTAGTTGTGAAGAGTGATGAGCCAAGCCAATACACACAGAATTAACGACAATGTGGATTTGCCAAGAAACTCTGCTTCAGACTTCATTACTAAAACAAGAAAAAAAAGAATATTTGAGAATAGCATTTTACATGGAGTAGATACAAACTAATGTCAATATTTCAAAGCACCATATTAATTATTTGATCTACTGTTCTTTTTAAATGAAAGAACTCTAGATTGGACAATAAGAATATATTCCAACAAATACAGGGATTGCAAATTCCAATTTTCCCAATGAAAATTAGTGCTATTGTTTTTACCTACAGCAATAATGACATGCCCACAATTTCTCTAAATTTATAAAATTATTCAAAATCTTACCTTAGCCCCAGCTTTGTATTCCTGTCAGTTTTCATTCTAATGGAGAATATTGCAGTGACTCATGCCATACACACCCTGGTTTTGCCCCGAAGCTCAAAGAATCCTATGGTTTTCTCTGAATCCCCATACCTGGAACATGGTTCAACCCAAGTCATGAAAGCCTAGCTTGTAGACTGAATCTTGCCCACAGAGGAGTTTTGTGTTTCCAGCTTGGTGGGGACATTTAAATGCAGAGTTCCAGGTGACTAAATGTAGCAGGAAACAGTTTTTACAGTCATCATTAGCTCTCACACAGGTGAGAGTGTCCCAGTCAAGAAGTACACATAGGAAGGCCTGGGATTAACATGCAAGATCCTTACTAGGAATTCAATAAAGACTTTAGAAATAAAAAATAAAAAACAGCAACTTGCTAATTACTTAACTTTGAATAAAAGAAATTGTTGTTTCTATCAAATTCTGCTTCCAGAGCTCTCTTGAGATAGTTATATATTGCCTGTTTTAGACACCCTGTCTACAGGTCATATCATTACGTTTGATGTAGCATATCCTGCACATATTCCATTCTCATTGATTTCCACATTGACACATGGTGAACAAAAGATTTTGTCTCACAACGTGGCTGCTTTTACTTTTAAGAGAAAAAAGAAGACACAAAAAATGCCAGGATAGAAGAGAAGCCTTTCGAAGCCACCATGACTTCCAGCAGCTTCCTACGTTTGTGAGATTTTGCCTAGTAATGTATAAATTTGAGCGCTTGACCCACATTTTATAAAGGACTTGCCATTTGTAATGAAACTTTGTTTTTATGTACAAGAATCATTTTCTTATCCACAGGATCAAACGGAAATGACAAGTGCTCAATTTGAATGTCAATACTGCACGGCATCCCTTCTTGGGAAGAAGTATGTACTCAAGGATGATAATCTATACTGTGTCTCCTGCTATGATCGGATCTTTTCTAACTATTGTGAACACTGCAAAGAACCAATTGAATCAGACTCTAAGGTAGGTATCACTTCAGTTGATAGTAACTGCTTATGAGCAGTGTGTGACTGCTTCAGAATGCCCCTTTTCTTTCCATGTTGAATTTTTACCCCCACTTTCTACCATGTCATCGTTTCAAGTCACAATGTGTAGTGCTGTGAAATGCATGTTTTAATCTCGCTTTATCCTTAAGACAACTCTTTTTTCTTTTAGTATATGCATGTGTGTTAGTTTTTAGGATAGGTGAAAAAAAATTAAAGAAGTTATTTCCCCAGAGTTTTACAACTCAATATTGAGTTACTTCTGGAACAACTAAGATTATACAAAAATACATAAAAGAATTTGAAAACTAAAAAAATTCAAAGCCTGTTCTTTCCAACTTAAAATTCTGCCTTGTCTCCCTTCTCCCCCAGACTGTGCCTTTCATCACAATTCATCCTCCTTTATGCTTATTATTTGCTTTCCTTCCTGCCTTTGCTTTAACTAAGTGTTGTCATTTGTTTGCTTGAAGTCTCAAGGGGTAATAAGATACTGTGATATAAAAAAACAAAAATTATTCCATGTAAAACCTTTCTTGTAGGTTATAAAAGGAAGGTAGAGAAAATCGACAAATTCCAGTAAGGTTATTTTTCAGTGACCTTGAGTAGTCAGTCAAACAAGGCCAGACTTTTGCTCTTAATTACCCCAGAGAATAGTCTTTCTATGGCTAACAGTATCAACAACTTTCCCTCAAGCTAGTGGTACAATCTCCTGGCGCTAAGCCCTGAGAATGTTCCATCTTGTCTTAGAAAATGACTTTTTTCCTTGCAAGCACATTTAATTAATTTTATTTGCTATTTCAAAGGATCTTTGTTACAAAAACCATCACTGGCATGAAGGATGCTTCAAGTGCACCAAATGCCATCACTCCTTGGTGGAAAAGCCTTTTGTTGCCAAGGATGAACGTCTGCTGTGCACCGACTGCTATTCCGATGAGTGTTCTTCCAAGTGCTTCCACTGCAAGAGAACCATCATGCCAGGTGAGATGCTGCTGCCTCTGCCCAAAGAACGTGGTCATCACTCTTTGGGAAGCACCCGTGGCGCACAACACTGGTGTGAGGAAGGCAATGTTCTTGCTTTCTTTCTCTAATTCCCAATTCATGTATTCTTCTTGGTCAAAATAAATTGCAGTGCTCTGTAATCTTGTAATTTTATTACAACACTCAATATCTTATTTTCATAAAACCTAACTCATAGAAGCATGATGAGCCAGAGATAGAACTGAAGCATAAAGTGTGCACCAGGAACACAACCGAAAATATCCTGATTTGGGCAAAATCAATGGCATTAAAAGGCATCATTCTTCATCAGACTTGGAGATAGTTCTCATTTTTTTTTTTTTTGGTTGTGAGCCTAGCCTTTAATGGCTGAGCCATCTCTCCAGCCCAGTTCATTTTTCTTTCAGTCAATCAATTCATTCGTTCACTCATTGTGTCTATTTTTTTTCTGTTGTGGGGACTATCAGAGGACAACTTTGGTGAGTTTATTCTCTCCTTCCACCAAGTGACATCCAGAGATCAAACTGATGTCATTAGGCAGAGCAGCAAGCTCCTTTACCAGTTTTGCCTTTTCACTGACCCAAGAGGAGGCCTTTCATAGCGCTGTACAAACTGGTATGAGGGACATTGCTTTCTCTTAGGGAAGCAGAGTCCATGTAAATAACTTCACTTTAAATAATAATAATAATAATAGTAATTTAATTTAAATACATTTACATTATTTCCCATCTTCATCTCCTCCCACCTACCCCTCCTAAGTTTGTTCCTTTCTCAAATTTGTAGTCTCCTCCTCATTAACCTTTGTTGTTACACAAATAAAAACAAATAAGCATATAAATACAGCCTGCAGTGTCCGTTTAGAGATTCCTGCAGGTATATGTGCTCTAGGACTGACCATGTAGGATCAGATAACTTGTCAGTGGCTCATCCCTAGGAAAAAATTAATCCCTCTCTGGGCAGCTGTTAGCTGTAGCTTATCACGTAGGGATAGGACTCCATGAAATGTCCCACATCTGTGTTAGAGCATCAATTGTTACTGGAATTGTTCAGGTCTTATTTTGGCAGCCATGATGTTGAGATTTCATGGGTGTAAGTACCTTCTCATGCTAAAAGGCACAATCTCACAGCAGACTTTCTGATCCTGTGGAACTTAAAATCTTTCTGCCTCTCTTTGCCATGTTCTCTGGTTTTTCAGTCCTTTCCTATCACTGTGGACAGCAGCATAAGAACGTGATTCAATCAGCCCCGCCTCATGATTACTACTACCATTACTATATTAGGAAGTCAAGTAAATTCAGAAGTCATTCCCACAATATGTATCATGGGAGTAGTGCCCTGGGCATTTATAATTATGCCTCTAATGATGGCTATGACTCAATCTGTCTGAACCATGAACTCTTCTAAACCTCTAAATGCGGGACTTCCCCGTAGCTTTTGCAGAAATTACATGAGTTTTCTCTGAGTGTTTCACTCTCTTTACAGCAGATCTTAGCTTTCTTTTCTCTAAGAAATATCTCAGAAACTACAAAAGGTTTTTCTAAAAGTGGTTTGTTTTTTTTACTATTTATTTATATAGTAATACAGTATTATGATTATACTTAAAATATTTTAAATAACTGAGGTATGTTTTCCTAAAGAAAACACAAGTATGCCTGGCTTGTTCTAACAGAGTCTTGCTTTGGTTTCCAGGATCTCGAAAAATGGAATTTAGGGGCAACTACTGGCACGAAACCTGCTTTGTGTGTGAGCACTGCCGACAGCCAATAGGAACCAAGCCTCTGATCTCAAAAGAGAGTGGCAATTATTGTGTGCCATGTTTCGAGAAGGAATTTGCTCACTACTGCAACTTCTGTAAGAAGGTAATTGTCTAAAGAGGGTAAATATATGGAACATTCCAGAACAATGGTTTTTACCTGCCTTATATATTTGGAATGAAGTGACTCCATCATGCTCTATCGAACGCATGGTGTCACTTTTAAATTTCAACACATTCCAAACTGAAATTCTCATAATGAACACGCCTTACTGTTTTTAATAGCCATAAAATTCCACCTCAGATCATGGATCTAATATTCAATTAACAGGTGATTTTACCTCTCAGTCCCATTCATGGCCTAGAGGAACTTTGTTCTGGGACAGGTACATTCCTATTGGTTCCTAGAAGGCAATTTTGATGCATTTGGTATCAACTGTTTCAGGGAAATACGGAACAGGTACTAGGAAACCGGCCTCTTATTTTCTAGTAACTGAAATCTCTTCTGGTCTTGAGGCTTTGTGTTATCAAGGAGAAGACTGGTAGGCTTAAGTAGGTGGCATATTGTGAGGGAAATCCAGATGTTGTGAAGACACAAAAAAGCCCCAAAGCTATAGTTTCCTCATCCCCCCCAGCACAAAAGCCTTCTCACTTGTTTCCCCATTCAAAGTACACTTTCCAGAAGGAAAAATTCATTCTTTTTAGAACTAAACATGGCCTAACATTTCATTGTCTATGCTTTTATGTGAAAAGTAACTCATGTCCATCATCTTGATGAAGCCAGTCAGTATTCATAAAATATGTACTGATATTCCCAAAGACATCCTTGACACACAAAGCACCATTAGTTTAAAATGGCACTGTGAATTGTAGAATGCGACACTGTAACTGTCTTGACAGCTCTCAAAACCACTGTGTATTTGCATTTGAAGAGCTGGAGAGCTTGTTACACTTTCCACAGGTACATACACAAGCATGTATATATACACACATGGTACAGTAATTGGTGACACCAGTGTTGCCTATGGAACAAAATAACAAATACACTTTACAGACTTATAATTATTATATTACACCCTAATGGTAGCTAAGAGCCACAGTGAATAGTGATGAGACAGGAAATAATCTACTACCTGAAAGTCTCTACTACTTTTCCAAAAATGCTGGCTTCAAAAACAATGATATGAGCAATAATCAAATCCTGTCCCATGAGCATGTGACATAAGAAACCTAATGGCTTCCAGGATCAATGGCATTTACAGCACACGCTGGAAATGAAATGAATGGACTTATCATGTTCTGAGAGGCTTCAATCTTAGGTCTCAGCTTAGGCTACAACATTAATGAAACTTGTGGGAAGTGTCATGTAATCTATTGGCCACAATAGAGACTTCCTTTCAATGTTATAAAGACTCAAGATGCCTGGGTCAAAGTGCTAGGTTTTCCAGGCTATAGAAGATGGTGGCTACATGGAAGACAGGCTTTGATGTCATTAGAACCTTATGAAATGGGTTGTAGACAGATGGTCATGAGGATTACTTTCTATTTCAGTTTTAAACTACATTCTTTAGGAGACGCTGGCTATAAATGATTGTGATCAAAGCTAAAGACAGAGACTCTGTCCAATTCAAAACCAAGACAAAATTTGGCTCAAGTAAAGCCAAGCTTCTTGACAACCAGGCCTCTTACCATTTTCATTTTGTTCTACTAGAATTTTCTACTAAGAACCTGGTGGCTCAAGCTGTAAGGGCTTCAGATTAGAATTCTTCAGGATAAAAATAGAATTGAATGTGTTCTTCAGTTCATTAACTGCTGTCTATTATGCTCAAAATCCTTACTGTCAGATTGGGGAGATGGTTCTCTTGCCACATAAGCATGGAAAGATGAGTTCAGATCCCAGCACCAACGTAAAGGCTGGGCCTGGTGGCTTAAATCTGTAACCGGAGAGAGTCCGGATGAAATGGAGAACTCAAAGTTCAGCGAGAGACCCTCTCTAAAAAACTAGGGTGGAGAGTGGAGAGTAATAAACAAGGACAATTAATGTCAGCCTCTAACCTCTATATAGATACACACATGCACGCGCACACATGCACACTCACACACATGCACACACACATAGACATACACATGTGTACACACAGACACACAAAGACACACACACATGCACAGACACACACATAGAGAAACACATGTGCAAACACAGACAAAGATACACACATGCATATACACACATAAACAGACACACAGAGAGACACACACACAGACAGACAGCCACATACAAGCATGTACAGACACACAAAAACACACGCACACATGCACACACACAGACAGATGCAAAAAACACACACACATGTGCAACACAGACACAAACATTCATAGATAGACACATACACACAAAGACACACATGCACATACACACACATTGCTTCTGTTTCTACTTTAGCAGAAAAGAAACTTATTCTAAGTCGAGGATCAACCCAGACTTAGATATTAGACTTAGATATTTTCTGCCTACTTCTTCAAAAGGAATATAATCATGGGCAAACTTTTTTTCAAATGTTCCAGAGCTCTAGGATTTATTATTTTGCTGGGAATCCATTTTTCAAGTTTCAGATCTTTTAAGCACTGCCTACAAATCATTTGACCAAACAAATCAAAGGAAACATGATTTTGCCTGTGCCTGCTGTCAAGCATTTGAAGTCAGTAGGAGGTATTTTAAATTGCTTTACTCCTCACATACCACTGTGTTCCTCACTTACTTATTCAGAACAGTATAGTATGCTTTTTCCTTCTAAAAACAATGACTCCTATCAAATATCCTTAGTTTCTGAGAAACTTGATATAAGGTCAACGTGTGTTTAGAATATTTTTTCTAAGACCTATGTGATAGACAAACAATATACCTGTTTGTCAGCAAACAAAGAAGGCTTAAGTAGGCTTATATTTTTAGCATTAGGTAAAATTAATATAGAGCTGTAGCAGCCATCTTCAACATCACATTTCCTTACCCTTCACAAGAGATAGACATGAACATATTCCAGTTTCCTCGACAGCTCTATAAGGTCACCATCCACGAATTTGAAAGAACCGATGATTGTAAAGTAGCTAAACAGAAGACTTAACTAATATTTATCAACCTAGTTCTCAAAAAGATGTTTCAACCTATCAAAGAATATGCATATCAAACTATGTGCTAGCTAAGTGATAACATGTCTTCCTGGCATGCATGGGGCCTTGGGTTCAATTCCCCAGTTCTATGAAAACTTTATGAAGACTCAGTGGTGGTGCATGCCTTTAATCCCAGTGGTAGGGAGGCAGAGGCAGGTGGATCTCAGTGAGTTCAAGGCCAGCCTGGTCTACAAAGCAATTCCAGGACAGCCAGGGCTGTTACACAGAGAAACCCCGCCTTGAAAACAAAAACAATCTAACAAACAACAAAAACCCATAAGCATCTGAGGCTCATTATATATTACAGATTCATGACTTCATGCAGAGCCTTTATGTTCATACTGGGAATCTGAATCCTGCACACCATCTGAGACTTGAAACTGAAAATTCACCCATTAGCTGTGCCCACTTTCTTCTTCAAAGTCCCGTAGTGTAATGGCTTTCCAACACGGCTGAGTACACAGATGGTAGAGAATGTGCAAGTTCCGTGCCACCTCTCAGTGGCTGCAGCAAGTAACCCCATCGTCCATCACTCAGGGACTGTTCCTCTGCAGAAAGACTGAGTCTATGCAATGTAGAAGTGTTGAGAGTATCTGGGGGTCTACGCAATGGAAAGGTGTTGAGAGTATCTGGAAAACGCCGTCATAAATCAGTACTGCCGGTGGGGATAAGAAGTGATTTTTTGCTCACATTGAAGGTGCTCATCAGCTCAACCCAGGATCTCCACAACTGAGTCTTCTCAGACATGCTATAGGCTACCAAGAAAAAGTAGCCATATGGTTTATGTTTTGTTTTTATCATGTTTTCCAGCATTATTCAAGGTCAGATGTTGATAAAAATGGGTAGGTTAGAGCGGGGTTAGCACTAACTGAAGATCTTTGGATATAAAAATAAGACTTACAAAAAGATGAAGTAAACCAAGCACCTGTTTCCTTTATGATTTTCCCATGTCCAAGGGGTTTCTGCCTCTTTTCTGATGAATTCCTTCAGAAGATTGAACTAATTTTCATTTCTGAGGCTCTGTATAATCCCTATAACATTTGGCTTCTTATATCGTTTTCTAAAATCTTAGAGGATTTCAAGGAAAACAGCCTCCTAATGCAAGAGCAGAGCACACCAAACGTGGGTCTGGAGAAGCATTGTGAGATTGTCTGAATCCACATTCATTGCCTTCTGCTAATGCTTTGGCAGGTGATAACTTCTGGTGGGATCACCTTCCGTGACCAGTTATGGCATAAAGAGTGTTTTCTGTGCAGCGGCTGTAGGAAAGAGCTTTGCGAGGAGGCATTTATGTCTAGGGATGATTTCCCATTCTGCCTGGATTGCTACAACCATCTTTATGCCAAAAAGTGTGCAGCCTGCACCAAGCCCATCACTGGTAAGTGCTTCAGTTCACCATGGTTCTACCACGATGCAGTTAGAATGTTGTAAAATGCTATGTGGTTAATATAGGAAATGCAAATAAAAACTTAATTTTTTCCTGCTATATTTCCTTTTGAAATGGACTTATAAATTTACATTTTTACATGGACCTCCTCAAGGAAATGATAGAATGTAGTTTGGCTGTTTGTACACTGTAAAAAAATAAATGTTAAACCTAATAGTATGGTTTCTAAAGACAGCCATAGTCCAAGGAAGGAAAATGGATAAGCTAAAAGGTCAGAGGAGGCCCCAATAAGGAGGCCTAATTTGAGGCTCAGAAATTGCAAGGGTAGAGGGATATTACTGAATCAGAATTCTACTTAATTCCAACAAAAGCAAAACAGATTTAAAATACAAAAGGTTTTAATTAAACTATTCTGTAAAATAGCCACAGCTGTAATTAGAGTAACATAGAACAGAAATTAATTTACTTTCTTTTTAAGATGCTTAAAACAAATGTATTACTCCTTTCTTTGTACTCGCAGCAAGTTGATTATGAAAGAAAACGTAGTATTCTACTAAGGAAGTACATGAGACATGGTTTAAAAAATAACATAGATGATAAATCGACCCATGCTAAGTAACTTCTCAAAGGGTTGGAGGAGTGCAGTGTTTTCCTCAGAGCCATCTTTAAAATGTTAATCCTGTGGTGAAGAAGCTGAAGCCAGCAGGAGACTTGACAAACCCAGAAGCTGTTCTTCCAGGCAATTTGTTGTCATTAATAATATGACAGAGCTATACTTTCACTTCCTGGTCTCAGTATTCTTCGATCACATTTCAACTTTTAGCTCATATTGCATAACATCTTTTTTCCTGTGACCTCGGATCTCTCTCTCTCTCTGTCTGTCATTTGTGTGTGTGTGTGCATGTGCATGTAAGGAAACTATTTTCTTTGCTAAGCTAAACTTGAAGGCTTTACACCTACTTGCAAATGGAGGAAGTGGTCTCCAGGATAAGCACAATCCTGTTTGTCCATACACATGCTTTCTGATTCACACTGGTCCATGAATTGTGTTTGGCTAGCAGACAGATTTTACTTAGCCAATATTTAATTCACAGGGTAATGGAGGGGACTAATATAAAAGTAATTGTTGCAACTAAAGACAAATTCCCAAGTCACTCTTCTAACCAACAGAGTGGCTCCCTATTATAGGGGCAGGTCTTCGTTGCTCTGTCATTCAGCTATGTTACCTCCTTGACTCTTACAAGGTCTTACATGAACAATTACAGGCTATTGGGCCTCTCAGCATGTGTTCCTAACCACTCTGATCTCTGGTCTTCTATTCATCTGGCAGCTGCTACAAGGGGAGGCAGTTACCAACTCCATCAGTTTTAGTTATAACACAGGACTCCCTGATGTTTAAAAACACCAGGACTCCAGAATCCACTTAGGAAACCCTCCGATCACATCCTGCTCTAATTTTACTTAAATTGGGCCAGAAACAGAGGTTTTCCGATGAGGAAATTAAGAGGTTAAATATTTCAAAATATTTTTACAGTTATTTAAGAATTCTAACAGTTAGTGGAGATCTGTTCCATCACAGAACCATGTGCCTAAACAGTGTTTCTGCTAAATGTTCCATCAGTCAACGACACCAAGTTTCACTCAGTATAGACAGAAACCAACAGTTTTTTTATTAATTTTTAATTTAAATTAAAACAATCTTATTTTACATACCAATCCCTTTTCCCTCTCCCTCCCATCCTCCCATCCCACCACTAACTCCCCATCCCACAACCATCCACTCCTCAGAGAGGGTGAGGTCTCCTATGGGGGATCATCAAAGTCTGTCACATCATTTGGGGCAGAGCCTAGGCCCTCCCCCCAGTACCTAGGCTGAGAGAGTACACACAATAAAGTGGCAGGATACAAGATTAACTCAAAAAATAAAAATAAAAACGTCAGTGGCACTCCTTTATTTAGATGATAAACAGGCTTAAGAAAGAAATCAGAGAAATATCACCTTTCACAATAGCCACAAACAGTATAAAATATCTTGGGGTTACTCTAACCAAACAAGTGAAAGACTTAAATGACAAGAACTTTAAATCTTTAAAGAAAGAAATTAAAGAAGATAACAGAAAATGGAAAGACCTCCCATGCTCTTGGATTGATAGGATCAATATAGTAAAAATGACAATCTTGCCAAAAGCAATCTACAGATTCATTGCAATTCCTATCAAAAATCTCAGCACAATTCTTCACAGACCTTAAAAGGACAATTCTCAACTTTATGTGGAAAAAAAACCAAGATAGTCAAAGCAATCCTGTACAATAAAGGAACTTCTGGAGGCATCACCATGCCTGAAGTCAAGCTCTACTACAGAGCTATAGTCTGAAAACAGCTTGGTATTGAAGCTAGCAGTTTTACACAAACATAAATGAATCTAAATGTGACAGTAGTTAAGTAAGCAGAGTCAACCTAAAGGCATTTCTAAGGATTGTCTTAAGACTGAAATGCCTGCAAAAACTCCCAGCTCCTTCTAGTATTTCATAAATCCCTAAAGTAAGGCTTCTTTAAAATGAAATAAACACACAACAGAGAACCCTGGGAACGCTATATGTTTATCTTCAGAAGTTGTGAACTCATACAAACACTTAGCCATCTTAGGCACTATGGTTTCTTACAGATAGGTTCAAGTTCAGGAAACTTACTGTACACTGTGGTGACCACAGTGAATGATGACGCATTATATAATTGAAAATCCATAAAAGACTGAATTTTAAAAGATGTATCTGAAGGATGTTAATTAGGTTGATTTATACATTCTATAATATTTGCATTACAAATACAATTAGAAATCAATATTAATTTGAAGAGAAGCTATTTCTGTTAGGATGCTTTTAGTATAGTTCCCTATGTTAAGTAAATCTACCTATAGGTGGTTATATATAGTTTACTGGTACTATTACAATGAATTGACTTTATTTGAACTAATTACAGATATAACTGATTTTCTTTTGTAGTTTTATTTTAATTAAAATATAATTACATTACTTCTTCCCTTTACTGTCTTCCCTTCACCCCTTCCAATTTCCCCTTCTCAAATTCCTCCCATTTTCCTCCTCAGTCTCATTTTGACAGTCTCTTTTTCTTTGATTATGGTTACACACACACACACAAAAGTGCAAATATATAGTAAGTACAGTCTACTGAGTCTGTTTTTGCTGTTTGTGTGCATATGTTTTCAGAGAGACTGCTTTATACTGGATAACCAGTTAGAGAGTGGGAAACCCTGGGAGAGGCTAGTCCACCCTTTCTCAGCAGTCGTTCATTACCTGTGGTTCTTTGTTTAGGTGTTGAGTGAGGTTTTTTTTTCCAGTTCTGCATCTATTGATAGTGTCATTATTCATGTCTTGTTAATGCAATCATTTCTAGGAGACACAAACTCACACAGTTCACAGTCTTCTGCCTCTTAGACTCTTGCCATCCCCTTTTCAAAGATGCCCCCTTAAACTTAAGTGCAGGAGTTACATTATACATGTAACTGTTGAGGCTGGGCTCTACACCACCTGTTGATCTCAAAACTTTGTCCATCTGTGGTTTTCTGCAACTACCTCTATTTGCTATAAGAGACACTTCTTTGATGAGAGATGGGAGCCACACTTATTTTTGAGTACAAGAATAAAATTTATAATTTGTAACTAAAATTATGTCTCCCCTTTTAAGATGTCACTGCCTTTTGAGCTACCTGAGCTAGATGAAGCAGCTTGATGTAGTGAAAGTGCTCTGAACATTGTCAGACTCTGACTCTGTCTGTGTTGCTAGACTATGGTTAAATACCTCCCCCTGGAGGTCTGCATTTGCCATATCTACAAAATAAGTGGAAAAGGACCATATATTGGCTTACCTTCATTTCTTTTTATTTAGAGAAAATGGAGTTTCAAACACTAAAGTTTCTTCAGAAAGAAACATTAATGTTCCAAGTTACGTTCCTCACAAAGATAAAACTAATTTAGTGAGGTTAATAGCTTAGGCTGTAAAGCCAGACTGCACAGTTTGAGTCAGATCTTGCCAGCTGGTGACTTTAGATGAGTGGCTGAACTTCACTGTTCCTCAAATTGAACATGATGCTAACATCTAGGCTTTTATGAGGTACAAATGAAGCTAGATGAAATAGGTGTCAAAGATTGCTTGCTCCGTTTTTTTTTTTTTTTTAGAGACAAGGTCTCAGCATGTAGCACTGGCTAGCCTGGGACTCAATATGTAAACTAGGCTGGCCTTGGACTCACAAAGATCATAGACCTGTCTGCCTCTGTGTCCCAAATATCTGAGATTAAAGATGCACACTACCACATCCAGCAGCAGATCAGTCTCCTAAATGACTTTGTTGCTGCAAATGACCCTGGTGACCTAAAGAAATAACCACAACCAAATTTGGAACAAATTTCCAAGAACCTCAGGGTTGGGTCAGACCTTAGCGTCATACTGCTAGATGTCTCCATTTCTTCTTCATAAAATTCTATAGTTACTTTTACATTTACCACTTGTATATGACTGCTAATAGAATTAAGAATAACTCAAAAACTTCCAAGTCCTACATACTCAATAATTAGTTTTATGGAGAGAGATTATTTATGTTCACACAGAACCTTGTTCTTACAGTTACCTTATTAAAACTTTAAAAAATAATTAATTGGCATACGTCTTAGTTAGGGTTTCTATTTCTGTAATAACACACCATGACCAAAAAGCAAGTTAGGGAAGAAAGGGCTTTTAAACTGCCATATCACTGTTTGAAGTCAGAACAGGAACTCAAGCAGGGCAGGAACCTGGAGGCAAGAGCTGATGCAGAGATAACGGAGGAGTTCTGCTTACTGATCTGCTATTTGTTGCTTGCTCAGCCTGCTTTCTTACACAACTCAGGACCACCAGTCCACAGATGTACCACCCAAAATGGTCTGGTTCCTTACTCACAAGTCACTAATTTTGGACTCCCATCCAACAATGTGAGATGCACTGTCACCCTGAACTCTTGGGGGAGGGTCTGGGCCCTGCCCTGGATGAAATGACAGACTGAGGACACCCCCATGGAGGGCCTCACCCTCCCTGGGGAAATGAGGGGATATTGGGGAGGTTGGGGGGAGGGCATGGGAGGAGGGGAGGGAAACGGAGAGGGACCTGGAACTGACTTGTGAAGCAAACTTGTTTCTAATCTAAATTTAAACTTAAAAATAAATAAGAAAAAAAAAAGAAAATGTCCTACAGGCCTACCTACAGCTGGTTTTTCTGGAAGCACTTTCTCAATTGAGGCTCCTCCCTCTCTTAAGTCTCTGGTTGACATAAAACTAGACAGTACTAGTTTACTTTCGTAAGATAATGATGACACTCTCATAGATACATAAACCACAGGTTTAATAAAGAAAAGAAAGTAGGATCTTACTCTATGAGCTAAACTCTGTATAAGACAGAGATTGCTCAGTTGTTAAGAATGCTTGCTGCTCAATCATGACCAGAATTTAGATCCCAGCATCCATATTGCATAACTCACACCTACCTATAAATTCTGCTCCATTGGTTCCAAAATTAAAAAAATCTAAAAAACAATGCATTTCTAGATTCGTTTTGCTTTCCTTGATATAGCAGAATTGAGCTAGAACCTTATGGGACTGAACTTCTCAGCTAGACATGAGATCAGAGGGCCACACCCTGTGGGATGACTTGTGTCTACATTATCTTGCTCACCACTGTATTCAGTGGTTTCTTGAGTTTTTGTTGACTTCTCAATCTATCATTGGAAAGAATGGATTACTCTTTACCTCCAATTCCTTTCCAGGTCTCAGAGGTGCCAAGTTCATCTGCTTTCAAGACCGCCAGTGGCACAGTGAGTGCTTCAACTGTGGAAAGTGTTCCGTCTCCTTGGTGGGTGAAGGATTCCTAACTCAGAACATGGAGATCTTCTGTCGCAAGTGTGGCTCTGGAGCAGACACTGATATGTAGAAAGAGACAGTCTTTCCCCATTTGAAACCCACTTTGCCTTTGCCCTCACTAAATCGGGAACTCGGTGGCAGTAACATTTTTATTCGTATTTTATAAGGCAGTTTAGTGTGGGATATGTAGAAGAAAAAGTTTAGCACACTTTACAACTGAACTCTATAATAAGAAACACACAAAAACCATAGTCTAATAGAAATGAATAAGCCTCAAACCCTATCTCCTTGCAAAATACTGCACTCTGCTGTTAGAAACATGGGACAATACCTCTTTATTATTTAGTATATAGCTTATATTTAGTAATTGTGAATACTGCTGCTGAAGGACATTTTCCAAAACTGATTGAAAAGTATACAAGAGACAAATGTTTGCATTTTAAGCTAGATGGTTATATATATATATATCATGATAGAGAGAATATGAATAGTGGAGGAGGAAGATTTATGGAAACAATCAATTACTAATCATCACCTTTAACAGCCTTATCATTTTAGAATAATGCGTTGTACTGAATAAGAGTTGAAAACAAAGATGTGTATTTTTGCTCATACACAAGGCTTCCACTATCACCTGCCCACTTAGTTAATGGAATTGAACAACTATGGTATCTTTATACTTAAATACAAAGGGCATCATCCCTATCTACAGCGAGAGTCAAGCATGGATTTTGATTAGATTTAGATTACTGATTTTAAATACATTTTAAATTAATTTTATTTCCAAAGCCCCAATGTCTTTTCTAAGTGCTACTGATTTAATCTCTTCTTTTAAGTAAGTCTAATGAGAATAATTATTTTACCAAAGGCAAACCTTTAAAGCAAATAAATAGCTAAATTTTGATGCATGAATGAATGTTAGGGAAGCAGTTTCATTTTAGAAAATGAGTTTCATCCACATATCTAAGGTTTGATGGAATTCATAATCATTTCTAAGCCTCATACATTTTGCCTTTGAAAATTATACAGATAACTAATGGTCAAACATAAAAGTGTACTTTAGAGAAAGCTGGTTAAAGTAATATCTTAAGAAGGAAATACTTTCCTGTTGGCAATTTGAGACCTGCAGACAGACACAACAAAGTGGGATGCAGAGTACCCCTCCTCAGTTCGCTGTGACTGAACTTTTCCCTGTCCCGAAGCCAGCCAACCCCAGAGCTCCAGTCTGCTCTATGGCCAGAACTTCCCAAACTGTAAGCAGCCAGTCCAGAATTCAACATTTATTCTGTCACAGGAAGCTTTATTGGAAATTCTACCACCATCTAAACAGCCTTTGTTTCAAGTGCCAATCGATCATGGCCTTCCCTAGCATAGGTCAAACGGAAAGCAGTCTGTGCTCTCAGTGCTCAGCTGTCAGCCTCAGATGCAGAGGTTCATCTGTCTGTAGAGAGAAAGGTCAGGAAAGCTCTCCTGAATGTAGTAATGTTGACTTTCAGACTAGTGCAGAAACTGTAAATGTTAAGATTCTGAGTTAAATAGGATGAAAGGCTGTGCCAGATGACACAGGAGATTCAATTACAATTGCTATCAACACAATTTAATAGTGTAAAATACAAGGGATGTTCAAAGATACTAATTTCGAGAAATGAATAGAAGGTCAGGACACATGGACATTTTGAAAACTGAAATTGCACTTTTGAATTAACAATGATTAAGATATTTTCTCATATTAACACTGTTATGTGCAGACCAATTAGTACTTGCTTGCATTAAATGAAATTACACAAGTAAAACTAAACATGCTGATTAGTCTGTGATCTAGAAAATAATTCATTTACAACTGTAGAAGTCTAAGTTCTTCAAAGTTTATATACATATATAAGATATATTATCTCTGTTAACCAATTACAGATAACCATGTAGCACATGATATTTCTTGATTAAACAATTAAAAAGATCAGATGTTTGTTTGTGGTGCGTGGGGATGAATAGGGAGAGTTGCATTCAACTTTTGTAATGGTACTGGAGATCAAACCCATACCTTACACATACTGTGCAAAGAGACTATCACTGGGATACATCCATAGTCTTTTGGATTTAATCTTAACAATTAAATACACAGAAACACTTTATATATTTCATTATCCTTTCTTAAGTACAGTTCATAAATATATAGAAATAGTTATCTATTCTTATATTGCTTAGTCAGTATATACATACATACATACGTGCATACATACATAGTATATGTGTGCTACCCAGAATTAAAGGTCATGCTTCTGGGACTTTGAAGTGGGGGAGGGTAGATCCAGGTTAAAAAAAATGTAGAGGTCTCACTGAAAAGACCCTTCCCTGATATTTAAGGAAAGTGCCACTGTAGATACAGTATGCATATGCAAAACAACTAAGAAAGACTTCTTTCCAATGACACACAAATAGACAACTGTGAAAAGCATGGGTGATTTGTTTTTTATTTATAAATGGAAAATTCTCTTAACCAGCTTATTAAAAATGGAATGGGCTGCCTCAGAAAGCAGTAGACAATCATGATTCAGGTTGACATCCACATGGGCAGGGAAGTAGTTAGAAGCAAGCCTTCCAACAGATGGCTTGATAACTGTAGAGATGCTGTACTAGAGAGCAGGGATATTATTACAAGCAAAAAAGTCAGAAGAAGGGGAAAAAATTAACCCTCAGGACAAAAGGTACAGATGTATATAATAGGCCATGGAAGTTGCCTGTGTTCTTGGCTAGGACAAACAGATAAAGGCTATGACACTTACACCAGAATGCATACTGTGTGGAATATGTCCAGAGGGGACAGGAGTCCAGCAGGCGTGTCCCATTGCTCCTCATGTGCATGTGACAGGGGATGTCCTTCTGTATGCTGTGAATATGTTTCTCTTATAAGCTGATGAGTAGATGCTGGTTGGCCAGTAACCAGGCAGGAAGTATAGTCAGGGATACCAGACTAGGAGAATTCTGGGAAGAGAAAAGGCAGGGAGCAGTCACCAAAAAAGATACCAGGTAGTTGCTGAGGAAGATAGGGATCAGTCATCAATGGTAAGCCAAGACCATGTGGAAATACATAGATTGATAGACATGGGTTCACAATTAAGAGAGAGCTAGCCAATGAAGCCTGAGACATCAGCCAAATAGTATATAGTTAATATAAGCCTCTGTGTGTTTATTTGGGACCAAACTGCTGCGGGACATGGCGGGACAGAAACAGCCATCTACATTCATGTGTGGTTGGTGACTGCAAAAGTAAGAGAACAAACAAGTTCAAACCTAGACCTGTATTTACTGACATAGATGACTGAACACATTTACAGATCAATATATCTGAAAAGGTTATATTTGGAGTTGAAGTTGACAAAACAGAATCTTTTCCTTCAAGGAAAAAGGGTAGGATGTCCAAGGGCTCAAGTTTTAATTAACAAAACCATTAAAAACTTTGACTGAAGCTGGGCGTTGGTGGTGCACACTTTTAATCCCAGCACTCTGGAGGCAGAGGCAGGAGGATCTCTGTGAGTTCGAGGCCAGCCTGGTCTACAGAGTGAATTCCAGGACAGCCTCCAAAACAATACAGAGAAACTCTGCCTTGAAAAACCAAAAAATATTCGATTGAGACAAAATTACCACCAGTGGATAAATGAGGTGTGATCATAACACAACCATTGTTCACAACTCAGTTATTGTGACTTTAGGAACATCGCACTGTACACTGTAGTAAAAGACGTCCTTCATGATGAAAAATGTGTGCCTCTGAGTATAAGTGACCTTCACTAAAAACCACTGCAGAGAACCAACATCAAAAATCAGCCTCAAAACATTTTTTGATGTTGGTATCATCACTTTTTAATGTAAGGGTAAAAGCACTTGACATGCTGACATAGTTCAGTTGTTAAATTTAAAAATGAATTTTACACTATGATATGGTTATATTTAACTGAGTTTATCAATTATTATATAATGTTTTAATAGGTATCTCATATCTGTAACTGCCATAATACAGGTTTTTTTTATATTGAACAAATACACATTTCACATAGTATATATTGGAGGGTTGTAAACATAGCAGATATACAATAACTTCTTTAGAATTCCTACTTCTATTTCATGTTTCTTGTCTTATGTTTACAATATATAGGTTAATACATTTGAGTATCATCTCAAAGCACAAATAGAAAAATACCTTAACTGAGTATTGATCTGAATGGAATGTCTCTACTTCTAAATAAACTATGGGCTGCCTAGCTCTTTTTTTTTAATGCTGGTCAGATTTAGAAGACTGCTAAATTAAAATCATTTTTTATTTCTAATTACTCTCTCTGAGACCAGGAGAAGAGCTCACTTTTATTTTCCTGCCACAGCTCAGAGTCTTTTGCTCTTTTTTTTCTGTGTCAGAGGAATTGTTAAAACCCTGGTAGTGTTTAGCTCTTATGTATTTTATTGAAATCCAAGCTTTTGTAACACAAAGCTTTTCCAAATCCACACTGTTTTGCTCCATAATTACTTTAGGAATAAATTAAATATTTGAACGAATAAATATTTGGAAAATTACCTCTATATAGGTACTTCTAGCTTTTGTTTAGATTGATGATTTTTAAAATCATGTTAATTGTGATCCCTGAGGGGACAGGGAGATAAAAGTGAGATTGGAACACATGCTATGAAATCTACAAAGAACCAATAAAAGTGAAAAGAAATGAAAAGGAAATAAAGAAAGAATAATTCAAGAAAGAGAAAAAAAAGAAAAGTCATGCTATTTATACAGGTGTATGAAAGTTAAAACTTAAGCCTTGGGTCTTCAAGTGTTGTTTCTTCAACAAGAGTAGATATGTCATTGGCATTATGGGAGCTAGGGGCATTGCTATCCTGTACTTTCCCCTCAAAGAAAACTGAACCTTTAGATCTCATTAAAATACCAGGAACACATCATATAGCATCACTATCAAGAAATGGCTGGGGGCTGAAGAGATGGCTCAGTAGTTAGAATCACATATTTCTCTTGGAGAGGACTGGAGTTGGATGTCTCACCCCAAAGCCCAGTCACTCACCAGCACCTGTAACTCCAGAGCTAAGGGGATCCAGTGCCTCTGAGCTCTGCAAGCACCTGGACTCACATGAGTACACACACA